GATATTATAAACTATTACAATATGAATAAACCAATTCAGCAAATAAAAGCTTTATATATATATATAATGTTTGTGTGTATATATATAGCATCATTTAGGGATGTGTGAAAGGAAATAAATAACCAACATCAATTATTTATGCATGTAGCAGCTGGAAAGGAATTCTCTGTTTTCTTGGATTCCATACATTGCCTGGTTCATTCTACATGTCTCAGACTAGTGTTTGATATTATATAAGCTCCCCTCAGGCACACAGTTTCTATTCTAAAAAAAATCCAAGACATAAGTCAGAGAACATGCTTCTTTTTTTCCATCATTACTAATCCATTGTTTTTTTATTTCTCCTTTTTGTACTATTCATTATTTACAGTTTGCCCTTAAATTGTGTTTTCTCTTTCTGATATCAAAACCCAGTGAGATACTCTAAAAGGTATAATTGTGCCATGTAACAAAAGGGCACAGCTGCTCAGAAGATTTGTCTGATGAGGGAAGCATTTCATCTTTTGTGCTGCAAGCTTTTTCCGTGACATGCTTTGAGTTCTTCATTTTAGGAATTTATGAATTGTACATTTTTATGGCATGCTTTTTCTACATTTAACATAAATCTGGAATATATCTTTCTACATAGTTACATAGTATTTGAGGTTGAATAAAGACATAAGTCCAACCTATTGTGTGTATGCATTTATGAGCTGGTGTGTGCGTGTATATGAGTCCACGTGCAATTTTTCTCTTACCTGTACCCCTGAATGTTATGGTCTCCCGGGAACTCGTCCAGGAGTCTCTTGAATGATTCCACACTCTTAGCTGAAATCACTTCCTGTGGCAGCGAGTTCCAGACCTTAACCGCTCTAACTGTGAAGAACCCCCTGCGTTGGTGTGGTGAAATTTTTTTTCCACCAATTTTTGGTTGTGCCCTCTGGTCTTTGTTACGGAGCTGACCGTAAACAGTTGTTACTGAGGTTGCTGTCACCCTTGAATAGTTTATACATGAAAATCATGTCCTCCCTTAATCTCCTAACCTTCAACGAGAACATATTTCATTTTACCAACCTTGTTTCATAGTTCAGATCCTCAAACCCATTAATGAGTGTGGTTGCCCTCTTCTGAACTTTTTCCAGCTCAAGGACATCCTTTCTGAGTATTGGTGACCAAAACTGGACCGCATACTCCAGATGTGGCCGAACCAGTGATCTATAAAGAGGCAAAATTATAGACTTGTCCCTGCAATACATTCCCTTCTTAATGCAAGACAGGACTCTGCTTGCTTTGTTTACAGCAGTCTGGCACTGCAAGCTATTCTTCATTCTGCAGTCTATAATGACCCCCAAATCCTTCTCCGTTTCCGACTTCCCTAGTGGCACACCCATAAGTGTATAGTCCATTTGCCTATTTTTAGCTCCATGGTGCATTACCGTACATTTATCGACATTGAACTTCATCTGCCATACAGTTGCCCATTCCCCTATTTTCTCCAGGTCCTCCTGTAATGTTATAATGTCTAAATCTGTGTCTACTACCTTCCCAATTTTCGTATCATCAGCAAACACTGAGATATGACTTCTCACTCCCTCCCCTATATCATTAATAAATAGGTTAAAAAGCATGGGACCCATCACCGAACCCTGGGGCACGCCACTCATGACCTCCGCCCAGTCTGAGAAGGTGCCATTAACTGATACTCTTTGTGCACGTTCTTGTAGCCAGTTTTCTATCCACTTGCACACTAATTCATCTATGGCCATAGCCCATAGCTTGTACAACAAGCGTTTATGTGGCACAGTATCAAATGCTTTGGCAAAGTCCAGATATACTACGTCCATTGCCCCCCCCCCTCCCCCCCATCCAGATCTCTACTTACCTCTTCGTAAAAGGTCAGCAGGTTGGTCTGGCAAGAACGATCCTTCCTAAATCCATGCTGCACATCACTTATTATACTATGATCCCACATGGACTCTAGAACCACAGTATTGCTTTATTATACACATCTGTGTATAGTGCCAATTCCTGTAGCAGTGACACAAGTTAAAAGGTTAGTCCATCCAACACTCAGTTTTCGGTAAAAGCTAGGGAGTTAACCCATCTGACAATTTTGGGTGGCTCTATAGGGTTGATTTACTTAAGAAAATGAGGCAGTTCACTTTGCAAGGGAATTTGCACTTTGCAAGTGGATTTTCCTTTAGCTTAGTGAATATGATGACAATTCACTTTGCAAATAATACCAAATCACAAGCAAGGAAAATAAAAGAACTGTATTTTTCTTGCACATCATTGAATGATGGAAGTCAACAGAGTTCATGACATTCACTAAGCTAAAGGAAAATCTCCTTACAAAGTGAACAGCCTATTTGTCTTTAGTAAATCAAGTCCTATTAGTGAGAAATGTGGGCTTAAGTTCGTGGATCTGTACACGTGCTGTGGCTATTGTGAGAGGTTTCTACTCTGCTTGTCCCAATCAGGGCTTTACTACTATGAGCACTGCACATGCCTACAAGAGACGGGAAACACAAGGATGACCTCATCAATATGATGCTATACCTTCTTCGTCCAGTCAGTGGCCTTGGGGAGGAGAGGCAGAACGAAATAAGTTAATTTACCATTGACGTGCTGTACCATAGGGTTAGACAACCTTGGCAGTCCAGATGTGGTGAAACTACAAATCTCATGAGTGTCAGAGTGTTGCAGTGCTTCATGGGACTTGTAGCTTTTCAACTGCCGAGGTGCTGAGACTGCCTATCTGTATTGTACCATTTTCATGTACAATAAAATGTTAAAAGGGTTTTGGCTCTGAAAGATTCTTGCAGTTCCAAGAGCAAGTAAAAATATACACTGTGTATGGGGTTTACAACTGAAATACTGAAGACTTAAAACTCTATTAATTAAAACTACTGCAGCTAGCAAGTTCAGACATCTAGAAATGCCTGCACATATTTACAACAGTCTCCCAAACAATGATGTCATGGTGGAACCCCATCAAGTACTGTAAGGCAAAGCACTGACACTTCTGGTGTTTGACCCCAATAGGAGGGTTTGGGAGGCTGCTGCCCATATGTACAGGAGCATGTAGGTGCCCACACTTCAAACCTGCAGAAGTTTTTTCTAATGACAGTTTTTCTTTAAGGCCAAATATTTGGATTGAAATGTCTGATTGTGACTGCTTCTCTTTAGGTATATATCTGGTATATGGAGAATCAAACAAGAGCAATCAGACCTTCTATTGAGCCTGAATTCTATCAGCATCCACTACTTAGTTCATGTTGGAAGACGTACAGCACTTCATAGGGGGATTATCACACAATACCACCAAAACACAATTAGTGTGTTCAGTGGTGCTGGAGGGGGAGCTATCTGTGTGTGAAAGGCTGTACTACCTCAAGATCATTCTATAAAATTGTGCAAATCATAGTTCCCACAGCAACCAAAAAGAATCTGACTTGTACTAGTGTGACTTATTTAAAGTAAACTAGTCTGTATAACAGTTTACAATTCATAAATTATAGTAGTTACATGTGCAACTTTGGAATGTTAACGTTGTGCTCTCCGTATGTTATTGTAGCTATTATACTTATTGTTTAA